GATATTGTATACCTGATCCAGATATATGATTTATATATTTTTTCTTGCCATCTACATAGTGCCTCTTAAGCGCCCCTTTATTAAGTTTGTGCAGTCGCTATTTGTCCTATCTTTAGCTTGTTGCTGTGCTTTTGGGGTCATATCCAAACAATGTCAGGAAGTTTCTTTTGGATGTCCGTGAACTAAGATAATTTTATTTCTTCCTATCTAGTTTGAATGCATTGTTTCTTTCTCTTGCCTAATGCTCTAGTTAGAACTTCAAATGGTATGTTGAATAGAAATAGTGAGAGTGGGTGTTTTTGCTTGTTTCTGATCTTAGAGGAAAAGCTTTCGTCTTTCACCTTTGAGTGATTAGCTGTGGCCTTTTCATAATGGCTGTATTACATTGATGTGGTTTCGTTCTAGTCATAGTTCGTTGAGGTGTTTTATCACGACAAGAGTGTTTGAATCTTGTCAAATGCTTTTTCTGTATCAGTTGAAGATGAACATGCAGTTTTTATCCTTTATTCTGTTTAATGTGCTGTATTCATTGATTTTCATTATGTTAACTGTTCTTGCATTCTAGAATAATCTCATTTGGCATGTTGTATAATCTTTTAATGTGCTGTTGAATTTGGTTTACTAGTTTTTGTTGGGGTTAAAATTGGTATTCATCAACTTGAGTCTTTGCTCTTTTTTTCTTATCTAGTTAAGGTTTGTCAATTTGATTGTTTTTCAAAAAACCACAACTCCTATTTTTGATTTTTCCCCCTAGTTGTTGTATTCTTATTTTCATTCTATCTCTGCTCTATCTTTTTTATTTACTTTCCTTCTGCTAGCTTTGGTTTAGTTTGTTCCTTGAGGTATAAAGTCAAGTTGCTGATTCAGATCTTCCTTTTTTTTTTTTTTTGAGACAGAGTCTCACTGTGTTGCCAGGGCTAGATGGCCGTGGCGTCAGCCTAGCTCACAGCAACCTCAAACTCCTGGGCTGAAGCAATCCTCCTGCCTCAGCTCCCGAGTAGCTGGAACTATAGGCATGGGCCAGCATGCTTGGCTAATTTTTCTATTTTTAGTTGTTGGCTAATTTCTATTTAGCAGAGCGGGGGGGGGGGGGGGGGGGTCGTGGTCTTGCTCAGGCTGGTTTTGAACTCCTGACCTTGAGCGAATCCTCCTCCACCTCCCAGAGTGCTAGGATTATAGGCGTGGCCACCACGGCGGGCCTCTTATTTTTTAATTTATGTTTTTAGCTCTTCTTAGATTGCTTTCACTGCCTCGTCAGAAGTTTTATTATTTTTTTTCGAGGGGGGGACAGAGTCTCACTTTGTTGTTCAGGCTAGAGTGCCATGGTGTCAGCCTAGCTCTCAGCAACCTCAAACTCCTGGGCTCAAGCAATCCTCCTGCTCCAGCCTCCGTGAGTAGCTGGGACTACAGCATGTGCCACCATGCCTGCTAATTTTCTATTAGTTTTAGCCGTCCAATTAACTTCTATCTATTTTTTGTAGGGACAAGGTCTCGCTCTTGCTCAGGCTGGTCTCGAACTTCCGAGTTCAAACGATCCGCCTGCCTTGGCTCCCAGAGTGCTAGGACTATAGGCGTGAGCCACTGTGCCTGGCTATCCCAGAAGTTTTGGTATGTTGAATTTTAGTTTCATTTATCTCAAGGTATTTATCCTCTTTCTTTACTTATTAGTTGCCTCTGGAAGTAGATTTAACTAAAGCAAAGAGACAAGATTTTGAACCCTCTGTGGAACAGGCAAGATATAACAGCTGTCACACAACATGATGTTGGGACACCCAAAAACCACAGCAAGTGACCTCCCTTGCAGACCTCGCCACCCAGATGATCCCCACATTGTGATACAGGAGGAAAAGGACTGCAGCCCTCGGTATGGGGTTATAGTCCCTTCCTTTCTCTTCTGCTCCTTCTCATGCGATTTAGTTTGCTTTCTTTCTACCTTCAGAGCCAGCAAGCTGGTTTGTGTGCTCTGTGAGGAACCACAGCCACCACTCACGAACTCTCTCCCACTGTTGCTGTTGTGACCCGAACACCTGACCTCGGCCACTGTGGAGAATGATGCCACTTACCAGCGGAAGCTCCGGCAAAAGCGGCTGCAGCAGCAGTTCGCGGAGCAAATGGAGAGACAGCAGCAAGTTGAAGTATCTCCCCCATCAGTTGAAAGAAGAGTGAGGGTGTGTGGGAAGATGGGAGCAGAGGCCCTAAGAAGTATATCTGAAGAGACTTCTCTCAAGCTGTACGAGGGAGAAATTAGTCAGGAAATTAAGGGTAGTGAATCCGGGCTGGGCGTGGTGGCTCACACCTATAATCCCAGCGCTTTGGGAGGCTAAGGCAGGATTGCTTGAGGCCAGGAATTTGAGACTAGCCTGGCAAGTGTAATCGAGAACCTGTCTTTACCACACCCCACACGTAGACTCTCTGACTGAGCTGGGCCATTCCAGTCCCTCCCTGGCAGCTTTTCCTGGAAGCAGAGAACAGAACTTTGACCCCTGCTAACGGCATTGGTGGTGCCTGAGGGCAGGCCTACCCAACCCAGCTCCGCCTCGACTCTCTCCTAGACTAGCCCTCACTGAGGGGGAGAAAAGGACACACCTGGAAGTCCCAGGGCCCCACCCACCACCTGAGGCACTAGAGTGCCTCTCTACAGGAACAAGAGCTGATAACGGCACAAAAACAACAGCGTAGCCTGTTCCTCCAAGCAACTGCCACCTACTGATAGGGAGGGCATCCTGCACAGCCTTTTCACGGCACCTACTGATTCATTTTACAGGGAGTGGTCGAATCTCACCCACAGACACCACCTAACAGCTCAGAAACTAAACAAGGTGTGTGAATACCCAAACGAAAACCTAAAGGAAAGAAACATCAACTGATCAACGTGGGAAGAAATCAGTGAAGGAACTCTGGAAATATGAACAACCAACGGAAACCACACCCCCAAAGAGGAGCACCAGCCCCTTAGAAACGGACACCAACCAAAATCAGGCAACCAAAATGACAGAAGAGGAGGATTCCGAATGTGGATCATAAGAAAATTCAACGACCTGCAAGAACAACTCAATAACCAACACAAAGAAACCACAAAAAGCCTCCAGGACCTGGAACAAAAGTTCACTAAAGAAATCAATACAATGAAGAAAAGTTTAACCGAACTCCTGGAAATGAAGAATCAATTCAGGGAACTACAAAATTCAGTGGAAAGCCTCAAGAACAGTAGATCACACAAAAGAAAGAATCTCAGAGATTGAAGATAACACCTTCCAATTAAATAAATCAGTCACAGAGATAGAGCAGAGAAACAAGAGAAAAGAGCAAAGCCTATAAGAGATGTGGGATTATGTGAAGAAACCTAATGTGAGGGTCATAGGGTTACCAGAAGGGGAAGAAGACAACACTCAAGGGTTGGACAAGCTATTTGAAGATATAATAGAGGAAAATTTCGCAGGCCTTGCTCAAAATCTCGATATACAAGTTCAAGAACCTCAGAGGACCCCTGGGAGATTCAATGCAAACAGGAAGATGTCATGACATGCAGTCATCAGACTGACCAAAATATCAACTAAAGAAGCCCTTCTAAGAACTGTAAGACGAAAGAAGCAAGTAACATACAAGGGAAAGCCAATTTGAATAACACCAGACTTCTCTACTGAAACTTTACAAGCAAGGAGAGACTGGGGCCCCATTCTCACTCTTCTGAAACAAAACAATGCCCAGCCTAGAATCTTATTCCCTGCAAAACTAAGCTTCATATATGAAGGAGAAATAAAGACATTCTCAGATAAGCAAAGACT